ACGTATTAACTTCACAAAAGTCTAGCAACACTGTTCACTAGGTAGTCTGTGGCGAAAGAGTTTTGTTTATCCAAAATGAACTATTTATGCAATAAAATAAAGAATTAATACGGCCTTTTCAAACAAACTAAACGTAGTGCTTAAATTCTCTTTGTTTTCAAATATAATCTGATGGTTAGCAAGTGAAATTTCATATAACTATTCAGAATGGCTACGAGTAATTTAAAATTATTGTGTGGCGTTCTGAGTAGAATGAGGTTAGGGCAAGTATACGAATCCCATATTTAATATTGTTACCAGTTAATTTGAATCTATTACATTGATTTGGATATTTTCAGGATTGATAATGTAATTATACGATCAAATGCTAATTATAAACCTCCTAAATATCGTCCACCGTACTGGTATATGCCCAAAGAAAGAGTGGTCAGTATAAAATATATTTATTAATGTTTTAAAAAGAAAGTCCAAATTTTATTGTTTCAATTAAACTGTTGATCTAATCATCAATACAATTAGTCTCGCAAATGAATGAGACTGAACCCATACTGTGTCAATACTGTAACATTACATCTCAATTTACAGCTGAGTGAAGATCATTTAACTCAAGAAAACCGTCAGTTTCTTGAGGAAGTTATCCAGGATAGACTTAGCGCACAAGCTAATATAGAGTCTCCTTTAGCACAAGTCAATGTTGAGAAATCTGCTCAGTGGACTCCTCAAACCAGGAGAGTTGGAGTCATTGCCCGAAAAATAGGCAATTACCCTCTATGGTCAAAAGATGGAAAAAAAATGCATACCACATTATTACAGGTTACACAATAATACATAATTTTCTTTTCACCAAATGTATTGCTGTTATAATTATTAATACAATGATTAATGTTAACTCAGAAAAAAATTCTTCAATTTGTCCGGATTCAAACCGACGGCTTCTAGCATACCGTGCCAGACGTTATACCAACTAAACCACAGAACGAACCAGCAAACCTCACTAATTTTTCTATGTGCTTGTTGTACCTTTGTATTTGGTTTTTCAACGACTTTGTATTAATAATTATAACAAACTAGTGGAGTAATTTCACAAAAAATAATTGAATATCAATTCAATAAAAATTGCAATATTGCTGTTGTTTTAGGTTGTCGATAACCATGTTATAAAGTACATTCCTCCAGAAGAATTCAAACCGATGAAGACTACAGAAGTAATGTGGAAAGAAAAACGAAGATTAGGCTGCCTGCTCGTTGGATCAGAGACTGTAGATCCTAGCATTGTAACAAAAGAATACTGTGGTCTCTTCAACAGTGTAGGAATGTTGCCAAAACGCCACCTTTGTAGATTCATGGTGTCACCTGAAGCTACTTTGCCAACAGGCACACCTTTATTTGCTACACATTTTAGAGTTGGAGATTATGTTGATATTAGAGCTAAAACGTAGGTATAAAATAAACGATGAATATATTCTTTTGATGTGCCTTATTCCAGTAGTGTAATTAATTATTTAAATTCATTCACATGACAGATTTTACAAAATACAGGCAGGTACAGAAGCCTACCTTTATGTATAATGAAATTATTTTTCTGCTTAAATTATATAACTTGCATCTCTTTCTTTTCAACTAAAGAACAACTAATTTAAAAAACTTATTGGATGCTACCAGACTTAAGCTAGTTGTTTGTTGTTGTTGTTGTGTGTTAGTTTGCTGTGGTTCAAGGGAATGATAAATGTTGATAATGGAATAAGCCAATCACAGCATGGACAGTAAAACTATATTGTGACTATTAAATCTACTTAGTTGCTTCTACAACGGACAAATTCTCAACATTTTTGCCTGCCTAGTACAATTTTATGGTGACACTTGAATAAGGCACGCATTCTTTTTTAAGGAAAATTTATTACTTATATTCTGGCTCTGTTTTAGCATGGATCGTGGTTTCCAAGGCGTGATGAAACGTTGGGGCTTCAAAGGTATGCCTGCTTCCCATGGTGTCACAAAAACCCACAGAAGACCAGGGAACATTGGAGCAGGTGGTGAGAAGGCTAGAGTTTGGCCAGGTACCAAAATGCCTGGACATATGGGTAACAGGTAATTTACTAGTTACTTCACATAAAATTTGCTGAATAAAACTAACTAAATATGATGCACATTTAATTAATGCCTTTCAATATAGATTGATTCATATTCATACACTGACATGTGTGCCTATTTTCTTGGTATTACATACCTAAGGCTCAACTCACACTGGCGCAGAGCCGAAGCGTCGCGTCGAGTCGAGTCGTTTTCAACTACAAAAAGACGAAGGCGCGCGTCGTCGCGTTTTCATATTTGCATAACACATATTTGCACCTTAATAATGGGAAAATAGAGATGAAAGAACATGACGCGTCGCGACGCTTCGACTTTGAGCCAGTGTGAGTTGAGCCTAAGAATGTTTTCTATTATATTGTTACAGTTGGCGAATATTGCGCGGCGTAAAAATTCTTCGTATGAACACAAAACATAACGTTATGTGGATGTTGGGTGTGGGTATTCCCGGTGAAACCGGTGCAATGTGTTATGTTTTCGACACAGTACTTCCTCATAAAAAATTAAATACTGCTCCTCCATTCCCTACATATCCTCCCTCAGATGACCTCCCTCTTGAGTACTATGATGACGCAATTCATCCATTTGAAGAACCAACAATTTCATATGAAGAATCTTAAAGTCAATGTAAATAAACATGATTAGATGTATTTATTACTGTATATGTATTTGGGTCAAATAAAATTGTCAATAATGTACTGGAAGGAAAACTTAGATATTTATCAAATTAGTTTATTGCTTTCCATGATTTTCAATTTCATTATTAACACACATTGTGAGCTGATAATGCACATTCAACAAATTGTACTATACCTAGCAAATACACTTACACATTACATAATAAGAGTCAGTCAGACCCTGTCTACAAGTCATTTGTCCACATACATTAAAAGTTCTTATATCTCATAGCTACATAAAATATTTACAATATATTGACTTACTGTAATTAAGTTTAAGCTTTCACTTACTTACTTTCACTTTACTTAGTTGTAATTAAGCTATTACTGTTGTGCTGGTGGCTGAAAGCCATAACCTGGATAAGGCTGAGGGGCATTAGGCGGAGGACCTCCAGGAGCTGGAGCGCGGGCATATGGGTATGGGGAAGGAGGGTACTGAGCAGGTGGGTAGCCTTGCTGATACGCATGAGGAGGGTATGCACCTCCTGCTGGTGGATAGTTTTGAGGGTTTTGTGGATATGAAGGTTGAGGTGGTGGCGCTGTCGACACTGGCGGTGCTGGGCTTCCAGGTTGGGATGATGGGTTTGAATAAGGAGGCTGGGAAGATGGGGGGTAGGGAGACTGCTGACCTGGAGGAGGATACTGCTGGCCTGGCCCAGGAGGACCTCCTGGGGTTGGAGGAGCCCCAGATGCCACTGAAGCTGGAGCTCCACTATTAGCATGTGAACTTGAGTTATATGTTGGTGATTGAGCAGAAGGGGATCCATAACCTGAACTAGGTGGATTTTGGCCAGTGTATCCACTAGGTGGAGGTTGTGGAGAACGGTTTGGCTGAGATGTAGATGTGGAACTGTACCCTGAAGTAGGAGTAGTATTGGGGAATGGTTGAGACTGATAAGGTTGAGGCTGTGGTGCAGTAGAGTTGTAAGTACTAACTCCAACATTGGGATAATTTGAGCCAGTCTGAGGTGGTGGATAAGCAGAATTGCCTCCATACCCTTGTTGAGCTGGACCGCGTACAGGGTAGGGAGAGCCAGAGCCTGCTGGGCTACCAGGAGGAGGAGCATAAGGCTGCTGACCAGCCGATGGGGGATACCCTGGTGAAGGGTGAGTAGAAGGGGGATAGTTACTGGGTGTAGTAGTTATAGGAGGTCCGTAAGAGGAATTGGGAGGATACCCTTGAGGTTGTTGAGATGGATTAGGAGGGCCATAGCCCTGTGCGGGGGGTGCATAACCACCTTGAGGAGGATACCCTGGAGCACCTTGATATTGGCCTTGATATTGATTTTGTGGGTATGGCCTTTGTCCATATGATTGTGTTGGCCTGGTAGGTGTGGTTGAAACGCCGACAGGCGGGCGATACGGCTGTTGGGACGGTCCTGGCACTTCTGATCCGCTAACTGGTGGACCTGGTGGCACATTGCCTGACGCTAATTGATGGGGAGGCTGCAAATAAATAGCCAAATTAGAAGGATATTACAAATTTAGAGAGTGCGAGGGCGAAGAAATTCTAGATAAGGATTTTAAAAAAAGATAAGAAATAGATTTCACTAAAAGATTATCATATTTTTTAGGGAATGAAACTTGCAGCATTAGAGACAAAAGTTAATTACCGGTAATAATAGTTGAATGTTTTGGTTCGCGTCTGCCACCGAAGCTAAATACACCAGGTTTCTGTGTAACATCTGCTGGTACTGATGACATTCCATAAGTTGACCTTTCGATTGATATTCTTGTATAGTTTGTATGAGATGAGCGTTCTCATCCAACATCTTTTGGATTTGTGCCGGACTCAATGGAGGACGATTGCCTCGTGGAGCAAAGGCGACAGACATCTTGGCCAATCGCAACTGCAGCTCGAATAATCCGAAAAAACACTTGTAACACAAAACAATATTCTGCAACGCTAGTTAAAAAAAAACAACTTCTTTTTCTGGCAAATGAATTGATGCGAAACAAGAAAACTGCAACAGCAAGTATAAAAGGCCTTTTCGTTCCAATATTTACCTAATACACTTTACACCGGTTATTACAGTTTGATATTTTTCAAATTAGTTTATCTTATTTTGATAAAAACCTTTTGTCGTACACAATTATTTGTACTTGTAGTTTCTTATTTGCTTTTAAAACACATTATTTTAACTTAAATTCTACTCATTCATAAACATTAGCCATCACTTCAAACTAAACTTTTATTAATGCATTATGATTATAAAACGAATAAGTCCTACGCCAAGACCCTGCTCTATGGTAATTAGAGCGGTAACTTTTATGGGCACGGCTGATATCGAAAGAATGTGATAACGCAAAATAATTATTTAAAACTACTATTGCCATATATTTTATTATGAAATACTTATAACCATAAAAATTATACCTAAATAATATTCGTTTCATTAAATAATATCTGGGCTTAATGATGACTCAAAATTATTCTGCGCTTGTGTGACAACTGTCTTTGAAAAGACACTATTAGTTAACACAGTGTATATAAGTCTGTATACGTAGATACATTATTATTATGTACGCTGCACACCATTGACCGATCGATAACAAATTTATGAAATTTAGATCAGCAATATAATGTGTTAATATTCGAATTTCAGTGATAGTACTATACTATTGTCAAGGTGTAATATCTAAAGAGTCACTGCATGGTAAGTAGATTTAATGATATTCGAAATTAAACAAAAAACAGTTCTTTCATAAAAATAAATAAATTAAGTATAAAGATCATTGATGGTAGTCATCACCCAATTACTAAATAATTTAATCATTTAAATATTTTCAATTTCTTGTCAGTAATAAAATGAGTTACAAAGCTGTACTTTGACCTTTGTGACATTATTTAGGTTTTAATTACACTTTTAAGATTTAATATTTAAAAGCTCAGAAGAGCATACTTGTACAATGAAATCCATCGAAATCAACAGCGACCGAAATTTATTGACACCAACTTATCATTATTTGGTGTTGTAGTTTGTTGTAAGTTATATTGTACGGATATATACTGTGTTTATTAAGCATATTCATATTAATTACTATTTCAGTTCTATTCGTAATCATGGCATTAAAAGGGATAAAAGTTATTGAAGTGATCGGCTTAGCACCAGGACCCTTTTGTGGTACCATTTTAGCTGATTTTGGCGCAAATGTAATAGTAGTTCAAAAGGTTTGTATTTTATTTTATTAACGAAACGTAAGGGTGTAAAAAAATTATCTAAATTGTATTTTTAAATAGATGTAATAAACAATCAGCAGACAGCATCTGCGCTGAAAAAAAGTTTGTGGATAAGTAAAGAGAATTGTTGTATTGAATATTGAACGATGATATTAAGTATATACCTATATCGATCAACAAAAGATAAATGTGTCTATACTTTGGTTGTTAAATATATTTGCTATATACAAATTATTATTAATTTTGTGTTCTTTTTTAGATGGATCCATCACCTTTTGATGTTATGTCACACGGTAAAAGAACGATATCAGTTAATTTAAAAACTAAGGAAGGCGTTAAATTAGTGAAGAAACTATGTGACACATCCGATGTTTTCTTGGATACTTTTCGTCCTGGAGTAATGGAAAAATTAGGTTTAGGGCCGGAAGAGCTACTAAAAAGCAATTCCGCATTGATTTATGCACGTTTGACTGGGTATGGGCAGAATGGTGCATATAAATTCAAAGCTGGTCATGACATAAATTACACTGCCATATCTGGAGTCCTTTCTCTTCTCCGTAAGCCGAAAGAACCACCAAAACCACCACTTAATTTACTAGCCGACTTTGCGGGAGGAGGATTGATGTGTGCATTCGGAATAGTACTTGCATTGTTTGAAAGAATGAAATCAGGAAAAGGTCAAATAATAGATGCAAGTATGACTGAAGGAGCTGCTTATGTCGCAACCTGGTTATTTAAATCAAGGAATTTGCCCATTTGGTCTGCTGAACCTGGAGCAAATGTCTTGGATGGTGGGTTTCCTTTCTACAGTACATATGAAACTAAAGATGGAAAATTTATGGCTGTAGGGGCATTAGAACCTCAATTTTATTCGAATTTTCTCAAAGGTCTTCAACTTTCAGAAGATGAGTATGGTCAAGGTGAAAATTTTGATCGAAATAAAAACAAATTCAAAGAGGTCTTTCTGACCAAAACTCAAGATGAATGGTGTCAGATATTTGATAACTTGGATGCTTGCGTCACATCCGTTGTTGACATGGACACTGTAGATAAAAACGAGTGTAACTCTACGCGAAAATCGTTTTATAAAAATGATGAGAACTTAATTGTGCCAGAACCTGCACCTAAATTATTACGGACTCCTGGAAAATCTTCAGGACATAACCCATTACCTCAACCAGGAGAACATACTGTAGAGATATTGAAGGAATTGGGATTTAATACCAAAAATATAAATGAACTTATTAAAAATGGAATTGTTTACGTATGCCCGAAATCCAATTTATGAAAATTTAAATCATGTGTTATCTTCATCTATTGTTATCAGGGGTGCTAAAGTACATAAGTCATTATCAGGGGCGTAAAGGATATATTGTAAATTAAATTGCATGAAACTTGAGAAATTTTTAATCAAGTTTGATAAAGTCAGATATAAGGGTTTTTGTATCCATAAAATATGTTATTATATACGGTGGTAAATTGTTGTTTAAAACTAAGGGATGGTCTTGAATTAAACACATTATTTTTAATACCATCTTTAAATCAAATATAATATGAGTCATTTCTAACTCACAATTCGAATCAACATTTTCCCCTTTAGCTTGTGATAAACGTTTTTTGCCTATATAAGTAACAAAACTTATGAACATATTAAAATCCATACCGAAAACAGATTTTAATATTAATTGACACTGATCAGAGAATTCTTCAGTATCTCTAAGTTCTTCTATTTCATTTTCTACAGAGGTTAAATTATTTTGTAAGGACGTCCACATTTGTTCTATATTGCACCCATTAACCCAATTGTGATTAACTGATATTGTGTCCATAATGTTTACTACCTGATGATGCCATCCTGATGGAACAAACAAAGCATCACCGGTTTCTTGTATGATCTCAAAATACTTTATATCAAGGTTTTTATCTTTGCAATCATTATAGAACAAAGGGGGATTACCCAATTTATCTTTGATCTTATTTTCTTCGCCGGGAGGAAATAAAAGCCACTTTTTTTTGCCTATCACATTAACAGACCAACTAAACGAAGAATAAACATCTGCATGGAATGGAGTCCTGAAAAAAAAATTTGTAAAATTAAGTATTTTACATTCGAAGTGGGAATGGCTTTCCACATTTTCTTTTACTTTATTGCAATGCTTACCATGAGTTTTGAGGACCAATATAAACAAACATGAAATCATCGTCCCCGTGATCATTAGCAAATTCATTTAACCAATCAGATGAAAAAATCTCAGGAACTGCATAAAAAGTATCGTTCGGACGAAGTCTTTTCAAATGCCAATCTTTCAAATATAAAAGTTTATCCCTTTCGTCATTTTTTAAATAATGAAAGTAATCTTTTACTTTCATATTAATCTTATTATGAGCGTTGAAATGTATGCTATCACAATCGGCTACTGGAGCATCTAAATCACCATACACTTCCAGGAAGTAATCATAGTTAATTTTATTATCTTTTATCCACTTACGGGTACTTTCCCACGATAAACTCACATTTTTAATGAGACACGGTAAATTTCTGATCATAAAATTCTTAAAAAAATCATTGTAGGTTATATCGCAATTGTCTACAGTGATCAATTTACAGTTGCTGTAGCATAAGTCAACATTTTGTACAATATTGAGTGCTTCGGATTTCTTCATTTCGAAATGAGTTTAATTAAAATTAATAAACCTATCATCCTTTCAACTTTAACAGCACCCAAGAAAATCGAAAGAAAGACACGAATGACCATTAAATACAGGTCTCACTACTTATATGAATTATATTATTTTGTGTTCGGAATGATTGCACACTTGCACAGTGTACTTTTACTTTGTAATATTCTGACTTAATCACAAATTAGAAAGATATAGTGACTGAATGACTCGAAAATACTTTGTAATTGAATAGGTAACTACGAGGAAGACCTGTTTATGGACTAAGGAGGGAGACATAAACAATGACTGTGATCAATTATAACCTATAGACAAACATTTGAATTTCATTTTGATAAACTGAACAACATTTTTGTCTATTTAATTTTGAAATCAAGTTTTTGGTGGACTATGGCCATAATTTAATTCTATTTTCTATTGTTATCATATTGTCTTCCATATGAAAATAATTCTTTGTACGTCGAGTAATTTTATCGATAAAATGGTGTACTGACCTACTGACTCCGGTCTCCCCTCTATTCTATTGTCATTCTGTGATGGCGGTGCTTGGGGAGCTACGCCAAGTTGAATAATTATACACACGATATTGTGTTTTCTTATTATTTTTATAACAGTTTTCTTATATATTTCGTATATTTGTACGTGGAAAAATCATTTGAGATGTATTATCATGTGTTTCTTACAAGATAACTCCTGGTATTCGATTAAATTTATTGGCGGTAACAATTTTGTGATTGTTAATAAAAATTGTTTTGATGCTTATAGGAACCTTATAGGAGATTAAAAAACCATCGGCATTTATGTAAAAATCTCTTGTTCTTAAATTTCGAGGATAATTTTAACCTATTCCGTTCGTGTAAATAAGCGCCAACATGAACGAGGTTCGTGACAAAGTTGTTGCCGGATCTTCTACTTGGGAGAGCGGGACGATGCATAGCGACTCCTCGCCTGAGTTACAGTCCTCGCCAAGTAGCAGTGCTGGACCCGAAACTCCTCAAACACCTGGAGCTCCGGCGCCTCTAGCACCGCACCTCGCGGCAGAACTGCACCCTGATCTTCTGCAACAGGGATGGCGCAAGTACTGGTCGAAACGTGAAAACAGGCCTTATTTTTGGAACAAGCTCTCTGGGGAATCTATGTGGGAGTTGCCAGCTGTCAAGCGTGATTTTGATCCTATAACTGATCCACTTGGAATATGCCACACAGGTCCACCTAATGCTGGGAATATGACTCCTGGAGCAACTAAACGTCGACCATCTGAAGATAATGGGCCTCCTCCTAAGAAGTTTGTGTTAGCCGGCCCGTGGGATATAGAAGTCCCTACTAATGTTGTTATTTATGAACGACCTCCATCTATTTGTCCTCACCCACACCCTGAAATTGAAGGATTCAGATTCACATTAGCAAATAAACTCAGGCAATGCTATCAGGAGCTCTGTCATACAAGAGAAGGTATAGATGCTCCTAAGGATTCTTTTAATCGGTGGTTAATGGAAAGAAAAGTGAATGATCAAGGTGGTTCAGACCCCCTTCTGCCTAGTCATTGCTTTCCAGAAATATCCCGGTCAATGTATGAAGAAATTATGAATGATATTCCTATCAAATTGACACATCCAAAATTTACTGGGGATGCTAGAAAACAGCTGTCACGGTATGCTGAAGCAGCAAAGAAAATGATTGAGTCAAGAAATGCCTCCCCAGAAAGTCGTAAAGTGGTCAAGTGGAATGCAGAGGATACATTCCAGTGGTTACGACGCACTGTTGGAGCTACTTATGATGATTTTCAGGACAGACTGGCTCACTTGAGGGTAAAAATTTAATATTAAACTCTACTAACACTGGTTAATGTTAAACAATTTAACAGACAAATCTTATATCTAAATCTTTTGTTTGCAGAAACAATGTCAACCACATTTAGCAGAGACGGTGAAGGCCTCAGTAGAAGGAATTTGTTTAAAAATATACCACTTATCAGCAGAGTATGCTAGGAAAATAAGAGAAAAACATAGTGCCCTGTTGAAAGAGAATGGAATACAGGTTTAGCTTTATTGTTTCAACATTACAGCACATCATAGTTACATTGGTCGGTCCCCTTGACAGTAAATCACATGTATAAAGTAAAAACTTTCTTTTTCAAAACACAGTCTTTCTAGTTTCTGGAATTGTTTTACTTCAAGAAATGTAATCTAACAGGTGTTATGTTAATTGAGTAGTTTACTGTATGTACTTGTCATATCTGACAGGTAGTGTCGTTTATTCCCTGTAGTGTTACGTTATTTCGCTATTTTCCTGCACACTTGTCACAGTGACTATTTTGTGCATCTCGAGTATGATTGTATGAAATTGTTTGTATCCAGGAATTGGTGGCACCACTACAACAAGCGGCGTTGCGCAAAGTGTGGTGCTACCCAGTGCAGTTCGCGACGCCCGCGCCCCGTTCGCCGCTTGTGGAGCATTTCCTTGACCGCGACCAGGCGCTACTGCGATACCTTGGCGAAACGCAGATGCTTAACGCTTCATATCTACAGAAATTGGTCAGTTTCTAAAATTTATCACTTTAGTTGTGTGCTCTTTTCTTCGCTAGGATTTTGCATGGTATTGTATGATTGCATATTGGTATTGTAAAATGCGGGACGCAACTTAATACCAGCAGCTGAGGACGTAATTACAGTAGCAGAATAAAGAAACAAAAACACGGCGTCATCATTATGATGTATTCAGACTAGAGATGTGCGCTGTGGTTTCACGCCACCGACGACGCTGCTGATGGATTCAAAATATCGTCAACTTTTAATTATTTTTTATTATTAATTATTTTTCTCTTCTATTTAATTATAGGCGGTGCCCTTTTAGGATTTCGCCAGCATCAATTGTTCCACAAAGTATCAAAGGTGCTCCAAAATGTTTGCATTACTTTAAAAAAGAACCCATAAAATTTGTTATTTATGAAACACGCAACTCTAACGGCCTAAGCCAGCAAAATAAGTCTGATAACCTGTTACTGTCCACTGCTCCAAACTTTTAAATGTATCTACTAACAAAGAGCTGTGATACTAAAGAAAGACTCATACAGTCAACCTGCTCACTAACTTCAGTGTCCTTAATTGCGAGGACAAAGATTAAAAACAATACTGTTTATGGTATCACAAATTTTGCATTTATGGTGCACACATATGTATACCTACACTACATACAAAAAATGACGGTAAAAAAAACGAAAGTACACGGAGGAAAAAATTATAAACTATTAATAATAACCTGTTCAAGAATAATTACAATCGAATATCTGGCAGTATAGCCAATTAGAAGCCTTAGCCTGGCCCAAAGGAAGAAAAATTTTACTACTACTACGAAAATACTTATTTTTATTTTCTTAAGTTTTTTATATTTTCTTCGCGAAATTTAGTTCTAGTGAGCGGAGGGCAGAGACAATACTGAGCTGTAGTATACAACGCCTAATTTAAAACAAGAACCAAAATTTGTCATGGTAACCTTATTTTACTTTTTATATTAAACATTTTCCTTCATTCTTTAGACTCGTCCAGCAATCCTATACTTCCCGTCCCCTGCAATAATATTTTCAATAAAATATAATGTTTTCATAAATAAATGAATTATTATTATATCGTACAATTAAAATGAATTAAGTTCCTGTCTATGTAGCTCTTTTCGTAATAGATTGATATAGAGAGGAACACTGACTATTTCTCCCGCTAGATGGTGCATTAATGCTGGTGCTGTTTGAAAGTCAAATATCCATAGTACCCACTAAAGCTCAAGTTGAAATGTAAAAAACATTGAAAATAAATAGAAACGTTAATTTAAACAATAGTGTTTTTATACCTATAATATTTCTATGCCACGTCGATCACGCCGCCGTCGACGAATATACGATCGGCGGACATCTCTCTCTAATTCAGACCGTATAGTCGACACGGAGAATCTGCGCCCATTTTAAAATTCAAAGTTAGTAAAATGTAAACTAATAGTGTAAATTGCAATTGGTGTATTTTTCAGGAGTGCCTGTACAGATACAGCTGCTTTGACGACAAGAAATTCGAGCAGTTCCTATCCCGCGTTTGGTGCTTACTACGACGCTACGCGGCGTGGGTTGGCGGCGGCGCTGGTGGGGAGGCACACGTCACGCAGATGGCGCTGCCCGTACCAGTACTCGACTGCCTGCACCGCTGTTTCGGCGTCACCTTTGAGTGTTTCGCTAGCCCACTCGACTGCTACTTCCGACAATACTGTTCTGCGTTCGCTGATACAGATTCCTACTTCGGGTCACGGGGGTAAGGGTTATCCACTGCGTCTAAGGCCCCACTGCCAATAAAAGCGCGGCTGCGACGCGAACTACACTCAGAAAGCTGCCCTACGCTACGCTACACTAGTGTGAACATATTTGCGCGATTTCATTCTGACTGGAAGAGTTTAAATTTGCCGCGCCCGTTTTTTTATTGTTGGAGAGCTATAAGTGATGTCATCTTGTCTATGTCCTTACTGCGTCACTTAACATATAATTATACTTTTTAACTACTAATTTTAAATTATAGAATTTATATATCGATTATTTGTAGACCATTTTTGGAGCTGCGACCAGTGTCAGGCTCAATGGTCGCACACCCGCCGCACTGTGAAGAGCTGCTGGAAGCGTCTCTGAGGCACATGGAGCGGCTCTTGCAGGACTCGGCCGAGCCTCTCAGCTTCGTAGTCGTGCTGCCAGAGTGGCCCGACCGCCAGACTCATGCCTTGCACAAGCTGCAAGCCAGTCATTTCAAGAGAAAACAGGTACTCCTCTGGTCCACTACTTCTACTACTACAGTACAGGTAGGCCACTTAGGTCAGTTTTCGCGCCCCTGTAGTGTCGCGGGCGAGGACTGACGTCTGTGCTCTACATATTATTTAGTATAACTAAACACTTCTAATTGTCTATTTTCTTTTATTTGTGATGGCACATTTCAGGTCGTCATACCGGCCTTCGAACATGAGTATCGACACGGATTCCAGCACGTTGTTCCAAAGTGAGTAAACATTTGCTCATAAGTAACTCGGAGATCGAAAATGGAAAGATAGATCAATGATGTGTTACTTATGTTTCTAAGTAATAATACTAATAATACGATTGTTTTGAGGAACGAGGTGTACTTCCGGTGGGGCGGCGGCACGGTGGTGGTGTGGCTGCAAAATGCGGCCGGGTTCGCTCGCTGGGGACCCACAGACGAACGTGTGGAGGCGCTGTTGGACGCGTGGCGGCCGCGGTCCAAGCTGCGATCACCCGTGCCACCGGCGCATTCAGACGCAGAGCTCCCGCCGCAGGCGCCGCCACTCACCCCACAGCCCCAGTCGCATGCGCCGCTACAGCAGCAGCCGCCACATCCGCCCGCGCCACAGCCACAGCCACAACCGCAGCCGCTCGCTTCCACCGCGCCACCCGACAAGCGCTAGAGCGTTTCCCGACTTTTATATAAGACGCGAAATCATTGTCTGCCGTTTGATAGGCTCGGTGGCAGAACGAATTTAAGGCTTAATTTTCTGCGACTGTGTTGGATTTTAGGAGAAAATTTAATTCCAGAGATAATCGTAAGAAATGATCAGTGTTAAATTTTGGTATACATTTGTATAAAACTATGTTGCGGTCGATATAGGTGAACAAATCGCCTAAATAGCGAAAGGACTGTACGATCAGGTATCGTCACATCAGGATGTTCCGAGTTAAAAAAATTATATAATTATTGTAATACAGACTTCTCTACAGAGTTCTAGAACACACTAGAAGTACTTATAGCACATTATGTATTATTACTTTGTGTATGACCCACTTTTGATCTTTTTTATGGAACCTAAAATTCTATTGTGTAATTCTCAGGCAGAATAAGAGGCCTTTTCTCCTAATCAAGCTTTGAAATAATTTCCAGTTTTTTATATATAGACCACGAAGTACATTGTAAGAACTATGGAGTTATGTGACGTGATCGTTGTGATTGTGAATCTGGATCGAATATAAAGTCTTGGAGGGATCTCGGGTTATTTTACCTTCCGTGTTAATTAGAACTTGTACATAGGTGTGCGTGATATATATGTACATAAACTTATGAAAAATTGGTTTACTATAATTAATTACTTATTTTTTAAGAATTACTTTTCTGTTGTATAGATCGATATTATTATGTTTTGATTGTTCATCATTATATTTTCAGAAAAAAATCTGTTTTAATTACCTTATTTTCTCATAGTAATTTTTGTAAAGGAAAAGATAATAAATTTAAGAAACTAAAATTTGTAAAACATTTTCATTGTAGGACCCGTTGTATAATCGACCGGAAACGAAAAGACGGTGGCGCCTCATGTACACGTTGATACTTGATGTACGCATTTTGGAATGCACAAGCATCCGCGCGTTCTGTTTTATCGGTTTAGTTATCTATGGTTTTACCACATGCAAATTGTAGTAATTTTAATTTGCGCCAGTTCTTACGAAAATGTTCACCCTATATTATTGCAATGAACTTGACTGATTGACGCGTGTCGCGGTGCAAAATCATCTTGTGGTATCCGCGCCTGTTTCCCTATATATAAATACAATAAATGTATTGCTGTACGTATATTAAGCCTAGGTAAACGGGCACTCCACTTCACCGATTCACTGTAAAGGCAACGTTGCGTGGATGAGTGCGAAAAACTTTATATTAGGGGTTAAAGTATGAAATTGCCGTTTTATTGCAATAGGT